AACTTGAGGACAAGAACTGCTTCTTCTCCAACAGTAGATTAACACCACTACTAGCGAGCAAGGTGCTACCCACATGCAGGATTAGAAAATGAATTTCCCATGTTTAAACTTTGCATAAATGCAATTATCCTCTACATTCTCTTTAAAACCCAAACTTTCTTATTTTACTGTCAAACTTCAAGTACCACTGTCTTGAAGCTTGCTTTAATCCATAAATGGATTTCTTCAAGCAACATCCCTTATGTTCTTTTCCTTCCATGACAAAACCTTTTGAGTTATGCCATGTAAACTTTTCCATACAAATCCCCGTTGAGGAATGTCTTTTTACATTCTTCTGATGTAACTATAAATCATAATGTGCCACTAACACCATTATGATTCTAAAAGAATCCTTGCAAGCTTATTATAATCTATTCCTTCTCTTTGTGTAAATCATTTCGCCACAAGTGGCGCTTTATAGCTTTCCATATTTCCTTTGGAGTCACATTTGTCTTGTAGACCCATTACAGCCTACTGTGTTGGCTCCATTGGGAATTTCTTCTAAGTCCCAAACATCATTGGTATTTATTGATTTCATTTCATCTTCCTTTGCTTCTTGCCATTTAGACGAGTGAACGCCTCTCATGGCTTTTTTAAATGAGGTGGAATTATCCTCTATTTGAATTTCTTTCTTAACATTGACTTCTTAGTCACCAGAAATATCTGATTTTCTTATTCTTTGAGACCTTATGGGGCCTTGTGGCACTTCTTTCATATGGGGCTATTGTTACTCTTCATTGCCAAAAGGAAATTGTTCTATAGCCTCCTGTATCATAAGATCCTTATTTACTTATTCATCTTCTTTAAGAGCTAACATCAGGTGTTGTATATGTCATACAACATCAACATGTATTAAGCAATTTGTTGCTCTAAAACACTGTAGTGGATATGTAATCCCACTTCTATTCAAGCCTTAGGTATCATACCATGCTCCCCCAGATTAGTCCATCTTTTGTAAAGATGGTGTATCTTCAAATTTCTTATTTTGGGTTTAATCTGCTAAAAACTCATATGGCGTTGTCCAGTATGAATACTAGCCGACTATGCTATCTTCCTATCAGAACTGTAAAAGGTCTAGGAATTTAGCTATTTCTTTACTTTAGGGGTATCGTTATTATGACCGTCTTACTCCCTCAACGATCACATTCATCTTTTATTGATCACTTTTACCTTCAATGCATAGTATGCATTGCATTATCTGAAGTATGGGGAAGTATCTTTCTTAATTGTCTTTCTTAATTAATCTTACATTTCTCCCCCTCGAAATGTGGTATGAACTTTTCTACCACAATTTCAAAAAACATTCAGAACTCTTGTTAATGAGGAAACTTTGATTATTTACTTTATCCACATGATTACATCATGCAAACAAAATTCGTATGGGAGTATATTTTCCTCATTATACTTCAAAACTCAACATAGTCTATTATTATCAATACTTCTGAAAGTCACGCTTGCATATCATTCTTATCTTTTGGTTCACATGCAACTTTCTTTTGTTCTTAAACTCATTGAGTACTTAATGACCATGACACAATCAGAGTGTATGGTCAATACTAGGATAGCATAAGAGCTATCACAAACTTCTCTCCATGTGCGGGATACACTTAGAGCACATGAGTCATCATATCCTTCTCCCGCCATGCGGGATAAGTACTATGCCAAACTCTCCCGCCATGCAGGATTGGTTAACATATGTACTATGCCAACTTTACCCTGCCATGCGGGTATTTTCTCAAACTTTTTACGCCATGCGGGTACTATCACAAACTTTTCCCGCCATGCGAGATAATTCCCTTGAACCGACATAATTGCCAGGATTGGCTCGTGTTCAATTATCAAATTCAGAAATAAATCCGAATATACTTTTAACACACATGTTTAATCCAATGTTAGTCAAATTAAACATGTATATGACTTTTACAACTCTCATAAGTGAAACTTAAAAATAAATTCTTCTTCACAGAGAGTACATAAAAGACATTTCTCAATGAAGACTTTCATTGATCTATATCTTTTCTTGGATCAATATCCTAGAATGCTTTTCTTTTGAAGCCATTCTTTAAAAGAGAACACAGTCCCTTAAGCAATGGCATTCTTTCATACATAACTTGGCCTTAGGCATTTTATCATCTGAGTCATAAGTACCCAGCTCATTTCTCTTACTGCCTTCAAGAATGAAAACATGGAAGTCTTTTGTCTGAAAAAATACTCAACAATAATGCTCATTAAACTTTGAAATATTTATGTTCTATTCTATATCACCGTTGGGCAGAAATAGAATAAAACATCATTCTTCAACATTAATTCCACATCACCGTTGGGCATAAATGGAATTAATGTATAGAACCTCAATAATCTTGAAAACGTAGAACTGCTCCTCAGAATTAAATTCTCCCGTTGGTTCGAATTTAATTAGAAGACAATCAACTTCATTGCAGCGGAAACATGAAAATACATTTCTGTAGTTTAAGAGCTTTCCTTGATCTTTATCTTTTCTCTGAAAAATTGATCACTTTGATGCAAAATTCATCAGAGATTTAAACTTTCAACATAGAACTCATAGAATTATAATATTGTTATCATCAACGTTAGTCAGAAAATAACAATACCATAATTTAACATTAACTATCAACCGACTATTCCTCCAATTAAAATTTCCCCGTTGGTTCCAATTTTAACTGGAGGATTAACTTTTCATCATTTACTGAATAACTACAACTGCTCTTCAAATTAAATTCTCCCGTTGGTTCGAATTTAATGAGAAGATAATATTCTTTAACTTTGTAGCGGTAGCATGAAAAATTCTTGAAAATAATACTAATTCAGGAGCATTTTTACTTTACTCATCTGTTCTCTAAACAAATTATCACGTTGGATCAAATTTGAATAGAGATAAAACATTTAAACTTAACTTTATTCATTCAAAATAGCTTCTGAAAAAAAATAAACTGAAAACATCTCCTTCTTGTTCATTTGGCCTAGAGGCCTACTTGGCCTGAAGGCCTGATCGCTTGTTCGGCCCAGCAGCCGCTCGCGTAGTGTGCACCCGCGCCCAGGCCGCAACATGGGCCTGGGCTGGGAAAGTGGCATCCCACCTGGGCCGCTTTTGACCCGACCGTGCTCAACCATCGATGGAGATCGGACGGCCCTCCGCGCCCAGCGGAGGATCAAAAGGCACCCGTGGCCGCCGTTCTCCTAAACCCTAGTTCATTCCTTCCCTCCCCTTCTCTCTCTAGCGCCGCACACGACAGCGGCGGCAACCATGGTGGCCGTCGGCGCCGGTGAGGGGTGGTGCTACCCGAGCTTGTTAGGCTCATTTCCTCCCTCCCCTTCTCTCTCATTGCGCAGCGCCGCTCGGAGAAACAGCCGCAACAGCAGCAGTCGTCCTTGGTGGCCGAGGGAGAAGAAGAGGGGCTCCGCCCCGCGCCCTCTCGCCGGCGTGCATGCTCGCCCAAGGCTGGGCATGCCGCCATCGAGGGGCCGCATGGTGGTGCCCTGTTGCTGTGACCGCGCGTGCGCAAAGCCGGCGCCGCCGTTGGGCTTTTCGTCAGCGCGCGTGCTCGCCCGTGGCTGAGCGGACCTCTGCCGAGTAGCCTGGCGATGGTGCCATGTCCCGCGCGATGTCCAGTGGGATGGCAGGCGGTGGTGACGGCGTCGGGGATCCCCAGGTAGGAGAAAACCCCTTCCAATCCATCCTTTCTTTCTTGATTCGAGATCACAGTTAGGGTTAGGGTTACGGTCTGTTCTTTCCTCCCGATCCGGATCGGTCAATCTTTCTCTCTTTTCTTTTCCTATACCCGATCTAGATCTACAAACTAGACTGGGGATTTTAGGGTTAGGGTTTGGTGAAATTTTGGGTCAATTTGAATCACCTTCTTCTCTCTTTTTCTTTCTATTTCTTTCCCCGAGATCTGGTTGCGGGTTTAGGGTTCGGATCAAGCGGTCTTGAAGCTGAGCCCCTTTCATCTTCACCTAGTTAGGGTTAGAGACTGTTCTTCTTCTTCGTAAGGTTAGGGTTCGGCTGACCCCTTCTCTGTCTAGATCCGAACGGATCTAGTCTATCTCTTCTTTTCTAATCGGTTTCTTGCCCCCGACAAGATCCACACACTAGATTGGCGGCTCTGATACCATTGTTATATACTCTGGATCATCTGGGAGTGGATCTAGTGGGTGTTTACTTGTGTTTCTCGTAGAAATGGTGTGTACGGAGAGGGATAGAGAGGGAGAGGGAAAGCTAGGGTTAGGCACAGACCATCGGTAGGTATTGAGGAGTTGGATCCGGCCATCACAGGTGCACCGGTGAAGATCTGAGCTAAGGCAGCGACGGTTGGTGTAGCGGTGGAGACCGGCGGTGGTAAAGGCAGTGGCGCTTGCCGCCGCTGGCAGTGCCTCCCTCTCGATCGGACTAGGGTTAGACGGTGGGGTTGTCGCGGCGGTAGTGAACCTTGTTTCAAGAGCCGTTTGCCCCACCACCTCTTTATAGGCACTGTGCAACGGGGGCCCACTAGCCACTAGATGGTTGGACGTCCCCGATCAGGATGCGGTCAAGGGGTCTGTCTCGACCGTTGGGTCAAGACGGATGAGATCAATTCTAACAAGACCTCCGCATCCCCGATGCCATCCATCACCTCGGTGGTTCTGCCACCCTTCCCTAAATAATGGCAGAGGCTGGGATCAACCCCTGTAAGCTCCGCGACCTGCGCCGCATCATGCGCGTGCTCACCTTATCTGGCATCTTCAGCGTCAAGCAGGCAGTCTACAAACTGACGACGGCGTCCCGCCTCCTCGTTAGAGACGAGAGCTTGACGACCAGCCAGCAGCTGTCTCCTTTTCTGTACCCGTAGCTCATGCTCACACCTTGCCGAGAATCCCCGGTGAGCAGGGGCCTACACGCATGGTTCCGGCAGGATCAGCCGCAGCCGGCGGGTCCGTCCCCGTTCTCCCTGGCGCACAGCGGCATGACGACGATCTGGGAAAGAGCGGAGCGTGACGCCACCGCGTTCCCTTTCGACGACGCCATGGCCTCCGATACAGCCTTTCTCATGCCGATCGTCCTCAAGGACTGTGGCGAGGTCTTCCATGGGCTAACCTCGCTTGTCGATGTTGCCGGCGGGCTTGGCGGGGCCGCTGCAACCATAAAGGCGGCGTTCCCGGATATGAAGTGCACTGTGCTGGATCTCCCATAGGTTGTCACCAAAGCTCCCACTGACAACGACGTGCAGTACGTTGCTGGTGACATATTTCAAAGTATTCCACCGGCGAACACTGTGTTCCTCAAGGTACGTATCTCACGTGGCACTCCTCATATATTTCAGATGCAAATTAAGCTTGATATTCAAATATTCATTTAATTTGATGAATGGCTGTTTGTTTCGTATGTCAGTGGATTCTGCACGACTGGAACGACGATGAGTGCGTCAGGATACTAAAGAACTGCAAACAAGCAATACCTCCACGAGATGCAGGAGGGAAGATAATAATAATCGATATGGTGGTTGGATCTGAGCCGTCAGACATCAAACACGTAGAGACACAGGTTTTGCATGACATCTTGATGATGGTTTTCAATGGAGTCGAGCGAGATGAGCAAGAGTGGAAGAAGATCTTCTTCGAGGCTGGATTCAAGGACTACAAAATTGTACCACTTCTTGGCGTTCGTTCTATTATCGAGCTCTATCCTTGAAAAGCTCGGTTAAACCATCAAAAACAATAAGAGCATCAGAACATGCATCAGTTATCAACCTTTGTTTTTATATAGATAAAAGTAACATCGAATAAGAGGATCTCCTATATATGATTATACATGTTGTATTGAGGTTAAATATTCATCTCATATTTGTGTATGGATGGCATCAAAAAATTGGGGAAATTATGCCGAAATTTTCTGTCTAAAGTACGTATTAATCAGCGGCATCAGTTTTTCCGGTTCAAAATACTGATTGAAGTCTGAAATCGAATAGGCTTTTCAGTCATGGAATCTAGGAGAAATAGCCTTTACAGTGATTTATAATGTCACCATCAAATAGACTTTTCAGTGTCCTTCGAAATAGTGATTGAAGTATGAAATCGAATAGGCTTTTTAGTCATGTAATCTAGGCTCTCCAGTGTCCTACGATGAGGCTTTTTAGTGATTCTGAGTAGACTTTCAAGGAGCATTTACAGCACAATACAATGGCTAGCAAACCTGCCTCTGCCTATATATATGTGTTCTAGAATGCATTGCTAACCAAAAGAAAAACCAAATTAGTATTCAGTTTTGTTGGAGTAGAAATGTCTAGAGGGTTATCTAGAGGAAAGGGTTTCAAGAGTGGGAGAGGAAAGGGGGGCGAAGGGAACTCCCATTGTGTGGGAGGGGTCTCTTGGGCCTGATTTGTTTGAGGAACCGGTGTATCAGTTTTCCCCTAAGAGCAAGAGTGATTTCACTAAAGAGTGCCCTCTAAGAGGATACGAAAATAGAAAGAAAGATTGGCCAAAATGCATGCATGGTGAGGACTGCTTAGTGTAGATGTTCACCGAGGGGATCGACGGAGGTCATCGCTTCTTCAAATGCCCACGAGCATGGGTAATTGCTATTATATTTCGTTTGTTAAATATGTTTCTCAAATACCCTTACAACTCATAGGACATACTTATTGTAGTCTTCTGAGTCCGAAGCAAACTGTGGGTTCACTAGGTGGGTCGATCCTCTATCAATTTATCCGCATCAGCAGTATATCTACTACCTGCAAGATCAAATCTTCGATCTACAAAGGAAAGTTAGCAGCGGGTACAAGGAATACAAAGACGATGACAACAACAATGGTGCAAGTTCATAGGAGGCACTCTGCAATGATCCATATTGCACCTGCCTTAATCACAAGAACAAGGGGCTTCCGCCGCCACCACCACCACCAATAATGGGAGGCCACTGTGGAGAAGGTACAACACAATTTGCTATGTGGCCACACTACTTGGACGACCCTATCTTATTCACATGGCACATCCATGTGTTTGTTGTTTGGTTTAATTACCTAAGGCATGTTAGGTTTAGTCGAAGAAACTATGTACCCTTGTTTGGTATATGTTCTCACATGCCATTTTCTTGTACTTGTTGTTCGCTTCAATTACCTAAGGCATGTTAGGTTTAGTTCAGGACCTCTGTACTCTAGTTTGGTACATGTTCTCACATGCCATTTCATGTGTTTTGTGTGTTGAATTATATAATGCCCTACTTCGTTAGGTTTTATTTGCAGCACGTGATCATATTTCACTACGTCCGCAATATTAAACTGAATATTATGACCACAAATAATGAAAACAACTACATAATGAAAAGTCCAATACTATGACATATTAAACAACACTATAATACTAGAAGTACGTGTCGATAAACTAAATAACGCAGTACATGACCTAAGCATGCCCATACTTAATGTGCATTACATGACAACACAATTTCTGCATCCCACCGCAATAGTTTCTGCATCCATTCCTTGTCTTCATGCTTGATCTCAGTGTTGATCCACTACTCAAAATCACAGAGCGGTGGAGGAGTCTACAAAAAATGCAATTGTTACAAAACAAAAAAAAATCATGCAAGATGTCATATGACACAAACATCAATTTCTCAACATCTTGTTAATGCGGCGCTGATGAAGTCTAGGCTCAAACGCAAAATTGGAACACATCCAATACCTCTGCCTATACGTGTCCTCTTCATCGGACTTGGCTACCTTGCAAGGATCGCCGCAAAAGCATATGGGCACTAGAACACCACTAGGTAGAGGCAATGGGTCGAAGGCATTTCCGGTCATCTAGCCATAACTACAATTTAGCCATTTTCATCCTAAGGACCGAAAGCAATTAACATTAAACCCTACACCTAGGGTTTCCCATTTGATCCACAACAATGAACCCATATCATAACAACATGCGCTGAGGTTACTTTAGTTTGGTAGCTTTTTCACGCCTTGGCATCCTACGGTTGTATAATATAAATATTAAAATTGCATGAAACCCTAAGTAATGACGATTCTTATGTTGAAAAATCCAACTAATATATACCAAATTGACTTGAAAAAAAACTAGGAGGGACCGAGGATACCTTGCTCTTGAAGATCTACGGATCAAATCAAAGTTTCCAAGGTCCAATATTGCGATTCGTGAGGTAGGGCGAAGTGGGGAGAGAAAAAACCCGAGAGGGATGAGAAAGAAGAGGAAGAAGGCTCGGGCAGGAAGGTTGGGCGCTGGGTTAAAACACCACCTCGGCGCCATATATCTTGGCGCCGTTCTCGGCGCCAAGCTTGGTGCCAATAACCACGGCGCCAAGCTCGGCACAAAGATCTACGGCGCCAAGCTCGCCAAGATCTACGGCGCCAAGGTGCCTACCAAGTCACCGTCACGTTTGCGTCGAGCCCAAGACCTAGGCGCCAAAATCTATGGTGCCGAGACATGTAAGCTCGACGCCACCAACGATGGTGCCGATCTAAGGGTCTAGATTTTGAACGCATACCTCTAGGGGAATATTTGTGATTTTTTTAAAAAAGGGCTAAAAACAAAAAAAAATAGACATGTCTACACCATTTCTATCTCTATCTGACTTTAGATGCCAGTCCACGCACATGTTTATATGATTCATTGGTATTATTTGGAGAGGAGCGCAACAACAACCCAGACGTAGCGAGATGACCGCCTCTGGGAGATCCCTAGCAGTAAAGAGAGCATCTTTCATGCTACACCGGCCTCCCTATATATGCATACCGGAGGCCTTGGTGGTTTGCACATGCTAACACACCAACAATAGAATCATCACGCAGCTGAATGGTTGAGGAACTAGGGATGAAGGGGAGCAAGGTCCATGAGCACGAGACTGACGTCCCGGCCTCCAAGCTGTGGGCAATCTACAACACGCTCCTCCCTGCGAAACTCCTGCCATAGCTGCTCCCACACGTGCTCGCCAAGGTCGAGCTCATCAGTAGCGACGGCGGTGTCGGTACCATTCTCAAGCTAATATTTCAACCTAGTGAGAGAAATTAAGTCTATATGAAGACACACACAAATAAACATTATTGATGCTACTGGATATGCTAACATAGTATGTACTTGTAGTAACTTTTAATTGCTCTGTTGCACTTGCTAGGGATTCCTGGACTACAGAGTTACAAGGAGAAGTTCATCAAAGTAGACAATGAGAATTATATCTGGGATCGATGCTACAGAGGGATGGAGATATTGATGCGGATGTTAGCCACAGAATCAAAGCAGAGTGGATCAAGTGGTGACAAGCTTCTGGCATTCTCTGTGACAAGAGGGTACCACAAAAGCTAAAAGGAAAGTTTTATAAAAAGCGATTAGACCGGCTATGTTGTATGGAGTAGAATGTTGGCCTGTAAAGATTCGACATGTTCAACAACTGAGTGTTGCAGAAATGCGTATGTTGCAATGGATTTGTGGTCACACAAGAATGGACCGAGTTCGGAACGATGATATACGTGATCGCCTAGAGGTAGCACCAATTGAAGAAAAGCTTGTCCAACATCAGTTGAGGTGGTTTGGCCATGTCCAAAGGAGACCTCTAGAGGCACTAGTGCATTATGGAGTCCTAAACCAAGCTAACAATATGAGGAGAGGTAGAGGAAGACCGAAATTGACATGGGGGAGTCAATAAAAAGAGATTTGAAAGTTTGGGATATACCTAAAGATCTATGTTTGAATAGGAGTGCTTGGAAAGCAGCTATTGAAGTGCCTGAACCATGACTTGGGGCTCTTAGTGGGTTTCAACTCTAGCCTACCAAAACTTACTTGGGACTGAAAGGCTATGTTGTTGTTGTTGTCTCTTATAGTTTCATAAACTATAAGAGGGATATGTGAAATTTATGAACAATGTTACTACCACTATGTCGGATGAATAAATGACCGAATGACTAAAATAAAAGTTGTTGATCTCAAAAAGTTTTGAAACTTTGTAGTTGATAACTTTTTTATTTGAAATCATTTTGTCAAGGAAAACTACGTTTGAATTTCTCAAATTTGAAATTTGGATTTTTCAAACGACCTCGAATGGAGAAATAACCAAAATCAAAGTTGTAGATTTCAAAAAGTTATGAAACTTTGTAGGTGACAACTTTTCATTTGAAATCATCTTATTAAGAAAAACTACGTTTGAATTTTCAAAAAATTGAAATTTGAATTTTTTAAATGACCTCGGATGGACAAACAACAAAAACGAAAGTTGTAGATCTTGAAAAGTTATGAAACTTTGTAGTTGACAACTTTTTGATTTAAAATCATCTTGTCAAGGAAAACTACATTTGAATTTTTCAAATTTGGAATTCAAATTTTGTAAACGACCTCAGATGAAGAAACTACCAAAATCAAAGTTGTAGATCTCAGAAAGTTATGAAACTTTGTAGTTGACAACTTTTTCATTTGAATTTGTTTAGGGCCCCAACCAATCAAATTAAACTCAATTTAGGATAATATGTGGGGAACCAAAATCCAATATAAACACAAGTGAGTGTGTGGTGCAGTGGTAGTGGAGGATACGCGTGAGTGGAGGTCGTGGGTTCGAATCCCTATAGCAGCGAAGCTCGTGATTTTCGTGCGAAAAATGTCGCTACTTCACGAATTTTTGGAAATTGATTTGTAGGGGTCTCCCTGGGTTAAAAAAATTCTGCTATTTTTTGCCCTGATTTCATGAATTTT